AAAAAGTTACACCAAAAATATGAAAACCATTAAATAGTTAATTTAGTATTAATATCGAATTGTTTATTTTATTTTTTATACTATATTCAAATGTATATTTTATTAAAAAATAAAAACATTATCGTTTTCTCAAAACCACATAAAATTATATTACATCGACAAAGATAAATAATAAAAATTAAACATTAAAATGAAGATTTATCTCGTGTATTGCGCGGGTACCCTTGTAGTATTATTAAATTCGTTTACAACAATTTGAAGAAAAAAAATTATATTATCCAAAAATGAATATTTTAAATTTAGTACTTTAGTAAATTCTTTTTTAAATACGTTATAATTGAATATAGATATAATGAAATAATAATTATATAAACTTATTTATAAATTAAACTTTTAACACACAATAATAAACTTATGTAAAAACTACCGAAAAACATTGAATGCTCGAAATTAATAAATATATTTTTAAAATATTAATTTATAATTTAATATTAATATATTAATATTAATTTACCTATCTTATAATTATATTTTATATAAATTTATTAAAACAAAATATTTGACCCCGAATGAAATGACAATAAACCAACAAGTAATTGTGGAAAAGGGGTTTTAATACAATTACTTAGTTTTACTTAATATAATTACTACCGATAATAATATCAACAACTACACTTGGAATACAAAGATCGAAAACACTGAACAAACAATCAAGAGTTGATATTTTGAGACCGAAAACACTCAACAAACAGTCAGGAGTTGATATTTTGAGAAAGCAAGTAGTTGATTTGCTTGATTCATGCAGAGAACTATTCAAAAGACAGTCTAGCATGGGATGAAAGCTCTGCTTTAAATATCACCATGTGCAATAAATGCATAAGAACACTTGTCATTTGTCAAGTGCAGAGTTGATAAGATTTGGTCAGAGTTGTCTTTACAGGAAAGTCTTAAAGTTGATCGATCCATAACTCAAAAGACTTTCACTCCTGAGAAATGTTGCATAATCTAAGATAATTTCTCTAACATTACTCGATAATAACGGTTAAATTAAAATTTTAAATCTTTCATACAGGCTAAGTCTTCAAAATACATAGACATGTAACTTAAGAGTTAAACTGTCCATACCAGGTAAAGTTACAGTTGATCCATACGTCAATGAGGAAAATGAGTATATAAGATAAATATGAGTTCCCCTTGTTAATTAAAAGGTTCATTTGGCTATATAAGTCATGTTTATCTTTAAATGTTCGGAGTAATGGTCATTTTTTTGTATCAATATCCATCATAAATCTTCTTGATATATAAAAGTATTGATGTGGCAACCTAATAATTGAGTATTCTTCATTCTTGAATTGTGATTGAATTTTGTCTAACCTACATTGATAGATAGATGAAATATTGACGATGAATGGTGGACATATAACAAGATGTTGAGATACCTTTGTGGCAAGTCATGAGGCTGGATTCTCTTGAGCAATTGTCTAAACTCACATGGTTGGATCATTTTGACTGAACTTCCAAACATATGCAGTTGACTCATTTTGGCCAACCTTTTTTTGTGGAAAAAAATTAATCTATACTAAATATTAATTGAAGAGATAATTTTAATATGTTTTTGAAAGTAAGAAGTGGAACCGTTGATACGACACCTTAATAATTGAATATTCTTTAATCTTGAATTGTAATTGAATGTTATATATCCCACATTGATTGAGAGTTGAAAGATTGAAAAAAATGTTGGATATGTAAAATGAGGTCGAGATGCCTTTGTGACAACTCATGAGGTTGGTTCCTCTTGGTTGATTCTCTTAACACACGTGGTAGAGCATCTTGGCCGACCCTCCGAATACGTGGGATTGGTTCATTTTGGCCAACTCTCTTTTTGCAAGAAGGGTTAATCGATATTAAAAATTAATTATATATATAATCTTTATTCATTCTATATTTAAAAGTAAGAACCACAACCATCAATGTGACACCCTAAGATTGAGTATTCTTTAATCTTGAATTGTAATTGAGTTTTGTCTATCCCATGTTGATTGGTAAATAAAAGATTGACACTGAATGATAGGATATATAAAGGAAGATTGAGATGTCTCTGTGGCAATTCATAGGGATGACTCCTCTTGAATTATTCTCTAACCTCAGGGTGCTTAATTTATTTGGATGACCCTCCTAACATAGGATTTTTGGCAATCCTCTTTTTAAAAAAAAATCTACATTAAAAGTTAAATAACTATAAGATATTGATGTGACAAATTAGAATTTAATATTTTAAAATCATGAATTGTGGTTGAATTTGGCTTGAATCTTAATCCATATTAATGAGAAAAGAAATTACTAAAACAAAGGGATTTTTATTTCTCCTTGGATTTGAACCTGTGACCTCCTGGTACTTTTGACCTTTGGAGCCAAGCTTAAACCAATCAGGCATCACTCTTGTTGTTTAAATAACTTATTATAAACACCTCTCCGCAGGAAATATATAATTTACATAAATCATCGAAAATGAAAGTGCTCGGTAGTCATTCTTCTTATTACGACATTTTAAATCTTATTTTTAAATCACCTAAATAAATAAGTGATTTATCGTAACCACCCATTTA